AGCCTGGGCAGCTGCCTCCCCAGTGGATCTGGGGATGTGGGGGTGGGCTGCCTGCTTCCTCTCCTCCCCCAGAGGCCAGGCGTTTCTGACTCAGAGCTATATAGGCACACATACCAATTAAGGGACCAACCACAGCTGCTCACGCTCTGCTCTGAGAGTCGGCTGGGCTGCTGTGCCTAGAATAGAACTCAGGCGCCCGGCTGCCCGCCTTCTGCAGCCTGGCTTCCAGAAACGAAATCCCGCTTCCATCTCAGCAACCGCGCACACCACCCTCCCTCCCACGCAGGAAAGTCGCCCCCAGTTGCTTAGTTGGAAGGCTTGGTTTCCATGACAACAGACTTGAGCTGGCAGAACGCACGACCCGGCTCTGAGAGGCTCGGTGCAGAGGAAGCCCAGAGACAGCCTCGTCCCTCCCGGTGGTTGGACCTACCCTCGCTGACCCTCTTGATAACAGTGGGTCTGCCTTTATGTCCTTCCGCCCCTCCCGGTCTTCCCTCCCTCTCCCTCTTGCGGCTCCTCAGGCTGCAGCAACCTCGGAGTCCCACTGTGCTTCCAGGAGGCAGGCGGAAGAGGCGGGGAGATGGGCGAGCCAACTAGTGAATGGAAAAGCGTGAGAGAGGGAGGAAGGAGGAAGGGCGATCTGGGGTGGGCTATCTCCTTGCCCTTTCAGCCTAGACCACCCTCACCCACCCCCAGGCAAGAAAGCGATGAGCTCTTCAATGTCCTTGGCTTTGTTGAGGAGAGACGAGCGGGAAGGTGAATTCCAAGTGGGGAAACTGAGGCCCAGGATATAGATTCGGCCTTCAGAGAATCGCCTCCGGCATTCCCTCCCACTCCCGCGGTGTTCCCAAACACCCAGGCAGCAGGGGAGGAGGGGCGCAGGCAGAGGAGAGTCCCCGCCTCCTCCCGCGAAGCCCGCTAGGGCGCTGGGGGTGGTGATTTCAGCGGAGAAGGGGTGGGGGGCACTAAGGAGACGTTCCCCGCCCCCTCTCCTGCGCAGTTTGCCAGGCGCCAACCAGCTTCCGCCCCCGCGCGCGGGTCTCCTCTTCTGCCTGGAGACTGGAGCTTAGACCCGTAACGGAGACAACGGCACGCTCAATTGCACACTGACACGCCACGCTCAAATACCCCTCCCCCACCATGGACCCGCAAGCCGATTGCGCACACGGTCTACAGATCCACCCGCAGCGTTACAGTCAATCGCACACTATTACATATGCACACCGGTGTTGCAAGCATAAACAGCCACATTTGACAGTCACACAGACTCATGGCAATCACACAAAACCCAGATGCAAACACCATAATCGCCTCCCGATCCCAGGCTCCCAGCGTGCACTCCTCAGCTCATCCCGTCATCCAAACTTGTCAGGAGCCTCCATCGCTTACACAGAAACGTTCAGCCTTTCAGAAGAAACCTTTTTATTATTTTTTTTCAAAGAAAAAAAGCCATATAAATATTAGAGTATAAAACTTGCGTGAGACACAGGAAAGGGATGGGGAGCTACGTGACTATGCAAAGAGAAGCGCTTATAGGAGTCAGTACCAGGGAGGGGGTCGCCGCAGTGCGTGGACACAGCACAAAACACAGCACGGGCCACCGCAGGCAGATTCAAGGACAGACGGCTGCGCGGAGCCCGCCGCCCGCTGCCCACTCGCCATCACGGAAAAGCACACCGCACTACACTATTGGCTATTCTACACCAGCCAAAGAGGGAGGCAGGGGGTCTCTACACTACTGTAAGGACGAGGGTGGGGTTCTAGCACAGCCCCGCTGGATGAACGGGACTGGGGAGGGGGAGGCAGAAGTGGGTGGGCGGAGGAAGGTTTATGCACAAGGAGGCACTGGGGACTTGAACCAGGCTCTGGCCACTAGGGGGTGGACTGAGGGCCTGGGCAGTGGCCTTCACAGAGAAGAAATGGCACCTGGCAAGGTGAAGGACCAAGGCTTGGGGAATGCAGGGGCCCGGTGGAGAAGCCTGATCCTGGGCTGAGAATTTCTGTCCACTTGGTCCCTACTCTAATCCCTTGCCTCCTCAACCCAGGGACCAAGAATGGCCTAGCTGGCCCTCCCTTCCTGCTGGGGTAGGAGGGAGGGGACACACTGATCGTTCCACTAGGGGCACCTCTGGAGTACCCAGCACCCACAGAGCCCCTCTGACCTCTCCAGGGAACCTGCTCCCAAACCTGCTCAGACCTTCCTTGGACTGCAATGCCAGTTTAAATCCATTGGTGCTGGTAGCTCAGCCCAAAGCTGGCTGCTTGGGTGGAGCCTTGTATGTATGTGGTAGATGAGGGCTCAGCCTGGTGCTTGGTTTATGGCTGGGATTTGGGGATCTGGTCAGTACCCTGGGAACATACTGAGCCTCCTGCAAGACCCTGTTAACTAATGGGTCAAGATTTATCCACCCTCCCTCCCCCCATCCACATACACACCCTTCCCTCTTTACCTTACCACCATATACGGTCTTGGAACATGCAATGGAGTCTCTTGTTTGGGGAGGGGGCAGTCACAGCATGCAGTGGAAACATCAAACAATGAAAAACAAAACAAAACAAAACAAACTGGTCCCTAGAGCATTGGGAAGAGGCATGGTAGCAAAATGCCCTCCCTAAATCCAGCAAGCATCACTACCATGGAATGGTGACCATGTCTCCCAAAACTTGAGCTTGGACTTGGGCTCTGGAAGGAGGTGAAGGGACTGGCACCAAACCATGCTTTGGGGGGAGTTTCAGAATTGAAGGAGAGGCCAAGAGGTCACGATGCCCTTTCAACTCTTCAGAATTTGAGCCTTTTTAGGTCACCAGGTACCTCAACACCCCAACCACCTTACTCAAAAGAGAGGAGCTGTGAAAAGAGTGGGCTGGGGTGGCATAGGTAGGAGGGAGGCAGGGGACGTTTGGGCCTGATTGAATTTGGAAGATGGGAGGGAGTTCAGCTTGTAACTAAAAGCAGGGTGTGAATAATTGATGGTCTACACTAAACCCCCCTATCCCCATGGGCCCGCAATTTGATTTGGATGGGGGTCCCCAGCAGAAACTCCCTTTGCATATTCAATCCCCCTGGGGAACAGAAAGGGTGGTTGTTGATTGGGCATCTTGTTTCTGTTTCCCAAGGGGAGCATGGCCTGGGCCCCACCAGGATCCTGGGGGTGAGCCCTGAAAATCCCAGTCCTGGATCCAGGTAGGGAGAGGCTGGGCTGGTTGGGGGGAGGCGGCCCAGTGGCTCCAGGCCTGGCCTCCACATTACTTCTTCTCCTTCTTGCCAGACTTCTTCTTGTTGCCATTGCCACCTGCCGGGGTCTTGCCATCCCGTTTGCCCGCTGCGTTGGTCAGTGTGGCGTTGCTACCAGGGATGTAGACATTCTGGCGGTAGTCGGGCACATGCTGCAGGGTGAACTGGGGCCCGTAGCGGGCGCTCAAGCCCATGGTGCCAGCGCCTGCTCCCAGGGTGGAGCTCCCATCAGCGGCTTCTGCAGAGACAGGAAAGTCAGGGGCTAAACCATGGGTCCCAACTGCCACTCTTTTTTTAAAAAATATATTTTTATTGATTTTTTTAAAACATATTTTATTGATTTTTTACAGAGAGGAAGGGAGAGGGATAGAGAGTTAGAAACATCGATGAGAGAGAAGCATCGATCAGCTGCCTCCTGCACACCCCCTGCTGGGGATGTGCCTGCAACCAAGGTACATGTCCTTGACCGGAATCGAACCCGGGACTCTTCAGTCACCAGGCCCACGCTCTATCCAGTGAGCCAAACTGGCGAGGGCTTTATTGATTTTTTTTTTACAGAGAGGAAGAGAGAGGGATAGAGAGTTAGAAACATCATGAGAGTCAGCTGCCTCCTGCACACCTCCCTCTGGGGATGTGCCTGCAACCAAGGTACATGCCCTTGACCGGAATCGAACCTGGGACCTTTCAGTCCGCAGGCTGACGCTCTATCCACTGAGCCAAACCGGTTAGGGCCCAACTGCTACTCTTAACAGTACAAGCAGTTAATGAATGCCTGCAAGGTACCCATCCCTGACCACTGGGAAGACCATCTCTACCACATGGGGTAGAGGTAAGGGGCTCTGGACTAACAGGCTAACTTTGATTCTGAGCTCTTTTAACCTATTCCCTTAAGGTAAGGGTTTAAAGTATGCTAGCTGTTCCTTCTCTCAGCGCCCAGGTGGCTCTCAAATCCTGTCCTGGTCCTTCTCAAGGGAGCCTCTCTGTTTCCACACTAGACTCTGGGCTCCTGGGGACCTTCAACTATGGTTTGTGCATCCTTTCCTCCTCCAACCAGGGCCTGGCACAGAGTAGGCAGTTAGTGGTTCTGTTATCAGTCAGGAGGGGGTGCTCTTCCAGGCATTCATTTCAGAATAGCGACTGTCGCCTTCTCTGTGCCAAGCACTTTGCTAGATGGTGCGTGTGCATGATGGCTCCTGACCTCAGCGCAGCAAGCCAGTGAGGTGTGTGGTGTTATCCCTACTTCACAGATCAGGAAAGCAAGGCTCAGAAGGTAAAAGACTAGGCCACAGCCACCCCAGCCAGCACAGGTTAGAGCAGGGGTGAGGCCTAAGTGTATGTAAGTGTATGTAGAGTATCACCAGCAGCAGCAGCAGCATGGCCCTCCACACTCCTCGCAGGGTAAAGGAGGGGACAGAAGATAGGCATGAGCAGTCTTCTATGAGGCTGAGTAGATGATCCCGGGACCAGACAGGCTCATGGTGTCAGAGCCAGTGCCCTGCCCAACTCCCCGCTGTACTGGAGACACAGGCTTCCAGGGAAGTACAAATGCTGGCCCTGGCTCATCATCACCTGGGAGCTTGTTAGAAATGCAGACTCTCATGCCCAGCCAGCATGGCTCAGTGGTTGAGCACCGACCTATGAACCAGGAAGTCGTGATTCGATTGCCGGTCAGGGCACATGCCCAGGTTGTGGGCTCTATCCCCAGCGTAGAGTGTGCAGGAAGTAGCCAATCAATGATTCTCTCTCATCATTGATGTTTCTATTTCTCTAACCCTCTCCCTTCCTCTCTAACCTTCCTCTCTGAAATCAATAAAAACACAAAAAGAAAAAAGAAAAAGAAATGCAGACTCTCTGAATCTGCATTTTAACAAGGTGATTTGTTTTCACGTTGAAGGTGGGGAAGTGGGCTTTTGTGAGGCTTAAAGGAGACAGTGCTTATCCAGTGCCCGGGCACCTGGTACATGTGCAATGCTGGCTGCTGTTGCCATCACAGTGTGTCATTGCTGAGTGTGTGTGTGTGTGTGTGTGTGTGTGTGTGTAAGGGGGAAGGAGCCAGGCGTTCTGATGGCTGAGTTCACAAGGGTATTGGAGTCCCCTGGCAGTGGGCAGGTTAAAGCCCCTGGAATGCCCGGCCCAGCCCCAGCCAGGCTGACGAGTGCTTTCCTCTCAGCCTCCTTCGGCCCCCACCGCGGGGACCCAGGGAGTGGGTAGAGTGGGTGACTAAAGCCGGAGAGGCTGAGTAATCCTGGGACACCAACCAGGGATTGAGAAATAGAGAAATATTTCAAAGAACAGCACAAGGGGGGAGGGGCATAAGAGAAGGAAAGGAGGGATGAGCCTGGGTCTCTCCGCCTCCTCACTCCAGCGCTCAGGTTTCAATTCAAGTCCCCAATCCCCCGATCAGAGGGCCTTCAGGGGGCGGGGAGGACGGGCTAGGAGGGAGGGAGCAGCTGCCACTTCCCTTTTCCTCCCCCAGGCCTTTCATCGCGCTAACATTTCTCGGTTTCCCCTAATTCACTCCAGGAGGGTACTGGGACCTTGACTGCCCGCCCCCTCCCCTCCCACGTGCCCTCTTCCAGCCTGGGAACAGAGGGGATGGGGGAGGGGGCCAGATCCGGCTTTAAGAGCCAGGATTCAAGAGTGATTTAAGGGCCAGAGGGGAGACTTCAGAACTCAGAAGAGCGAGATAGGGAGAGCGATATTGAGACAGGACTTGGGGGAAACAGGGGGAAGAGAAAGAGAAACAGAAATAAAGGAAAGGCTTGGCTGGGTAACTGGAAGCCAGGCCCACCCACACCCTACAGGCACCCAAGATCTCTGAGGAGCACCAGGTTGGGTGCAAATGACTAAGCCAGCCCCTGCCGCCTCCTTCCCAGAGGCACAGGCCTGATGTTGGCCCAGGCTCTGTGGGGTGCAGTGGAGGTGAGCTGGACCCGAAGGGAGAAGAATGTTCCTAGAAAGAGGCTGCCACTTCACTTCTGTCTGGTCAGCTCTGCCACTAAGGAGCCGTGTGACCGTGACCAGGCCTTGCTTGAGTCAGGCCTCAGTTTCCCTGTCTGTAAATCTGTGGGGAAGAAGTTGGGGGGCAGGCTCTGACCTGTAGAATGAATTCTCCAATGGCCCCTCTCTCTACCCCTGCAAGAGCCACGCTGGGCAGGGACCAGCATCTTCCCTCATCCAAGAGAAACAGACGTTGAAGAGCAGCAAGAAGAACCTGGGCATCCTCTGGTTTGGAGGAGGGGGAAGCGGTGCTGGCCTCCTCTCTAGTCCAGCCTCGCCTGGGGAAACAGCTCCAGGCACCATAACCTCCCCTTGCCTCCTGCCCTCCACCCCAGGGCTGGGGCAGCAACTCTAGGGCAGTCCAGGAGGCCTGGTCAAGCGAGACCTCAGCCAGTTGAACTGCAGACCGCAGGCTCCTTGAGAGCACACCTCCTCCCTGAAATGTTTATTTAAGAAGCCTCCCAAGTGTACTTACTCTCTCCCTCTTACTCCCCCTCAGCAGCCCCACAGGCCTGGCTGGGCTGGACTCCAGGAACCTCTCTGGCTCCAGGGCAGGGAAGCGGGTGTGAAAGTGAGAGTAGGGCCTGACCCTGCCACCTCCCCCCTCAGGGTCTGTTCCCCAGAGCCCAGGCTTACACTCAGGTCAGGCCCTGTGTGGGCCAGAGGCGGGGAGCCCTGAGAGGGAGGCCGGCCTGCAGTGACCCAGGGGACCTTCTGAGAGGGTTTGGGGCCATAAATACTCCATTTCTGTTTTTAAAATGTGGATTTAGGCTAAAAAGCCTGCTTCCTGGCCTTAGGGCTCAAGGCCACAAGAGCTAAATATACCTGACTGCCTGTTTACTTCCCTCAAGAACCCGACTTGGCCTCTCCCCAGACCCAGCTGCCTCCCTCTTTCAAACTCAGCATCTGGCCTCTCTGGGCCGCGCTCCACTCCATCCGGAATGCTGGTCGCCTTTGCCACTTGCCCCTTCCTAACCACAGTCCTGGCCCCACTGGGCCTCACAGACATCTGGAGGAAGCTTGCCAGACTTAGCAAGTAAAAACACAGGGTACCCAGTTCATATGAATTTCAGGTCAACAACAAGCAATTTTTTTTAGTGCTGTATGTCCCAATACTAATGTTTGGGACCTACTTATGCTAAAATATTATTTGTTGTTTACCCGAAGTCAAAATTTAACTGATTGATCATCTTCTTTCTACCTGGCAACCCTAATCTTGGAGAATAATACAGGGCAGTGAGAATTCAGCCTCGATTTACTCAGCTAAAAGGGAAACAGAGGCTGGATCTCAAGGCAGACAGGGTCACTGGAGCAGAGAGAACATCAACTTGGGAGTCGGGCCAGGTTAGTGGACAAGTGACTTCTCAGTCTCTTGTCTGTCAGGTGGAAGTAATCAGACCTGCCTCGCAGAGCTGCTGAGAGGGTTCACGGACATGAGGCCCATAGAGTTTGTCTGGCATGTGCCTGGCACAGGGGCGTGGTTATGGCGATTATTGTTCTGATTTGACCTGCTTCTCTACCCACCAGCCCTCCATGCTGGAGGGCAGGGCTCTCAGCGACTACGTAAGGCCAGTGCCTTAATCCCCCACCATCCTCCATAGAAGCCCAGATGTGCTGCTCCAGAAGCTAGTCCTTATTAATGGGCTCTATTCTAATTCAGCCTTCTATCCACTCCTATGGATCAATAAAGATAATAATTAACCAGTCTTAGCCACTCTATATTGTGTCCTTACTCTCTGTTAATTCTGTGCTGAGGTCTTACATTAGGTCCTGTACCACACCACAATGAGAGCTGTTATTACTGTGCCCCTTTTAGAGTCAGTGAAACTGAGGCCCAGAGGGGGTTAGTAACTTGCCCGAGGACTCACAGTGCACAGGGGTGCCAGAATTTGGATCCATGTTGACCTGCCTCCAAAGCCTGTGCTCTTCAATAGTAATGATATCATTCTACTTCCCCTGTTCAGGACCCTTGTGACTTTTCAGGGACAATAACCATCAACAGAATCTCTATTGCATGTGAAGTGCTTTGCTAGCCTTAGCCTCCTGGGAAAACAAAAATCCTGCTCTGAGGGTGGGTAAGCAAAAAAAGAGAAGGGGTCTCACATATCCTGAGTCTGTTCTCTCTGCTGGGAACACCCCTCCCCCACATCCATGGATTGAGGGCCTATGTGCCAGACCCAGTACTTCGTGCTTTGTGGTATCATCTCATTTAGTCCTCAGGACAGCCCTCTGAGGTCGCTGCCCCATTTTCTTGGCTGAGGAAACTGAGGTGTAGAGAGATTAAGTAAATCGGTCAAAGTCACAAAGATGGTAAGTGGCAGAGCTGGGATCAGACTGATGCTCTTCCCTTCAGACTCTCAAGCACCACTCCCCACATCTCCTCGATGGACCTTTCCTTGTTCACTCCCCTGTGGCATCCCAGGACCCAATCCCTCAGCTGTTCCTCAGCCTGGCTTCATGTTTTGGGGTGATGAATCCCTTAGCACCAGCAGAAAGACCCAGAGAAATCCTGCAGGGTGATAGCCAGTGTCAAAGCATGTGGCTGTGGGATGCCCAGAGCCCCAGGTCTCCCATCCCATCTTAACACACACACACACACACACACACACACAACTCACCGCTGGCAGAGGCCAAGATCATGGCTTGCAGCATCTCTGTGTCAAACTGGTTGTTGGGCCAGGTGCCGGTTTCATCGCCATTTTGGGAGCTGGAGAGAGAGTGGGATGGTGAGCACAGTGTCCCAGGCCAGCCTAGCTCATACCCTTCCTGTCCTCTTCCAGGGCTCCCAAATCCAGTACCCTATCCCCCCTATCCCCAGGACCCCCTCCCTTTCAGCAAGGTAGTGGGTAATTTCTATAATCCTTCAGAAGCCAGACCCCACCCCCTCCACCCACCCACCATTTGTCAGTCCTCCAAACAGCTCTCCACTGTCTCAGGCATGTCTCAGACACTGGGGCCCTTAGACAGGATAAACTGTGACTTGCTCCCCGCCCCCCATGAGAGAGCAGTGCTTCCTGTCACCATGAGGGAGATAGGCCTCTCCCCAGGGCAGTGAAGGTAAGATATGGGAGCCAGAGAAAGGGGTGAGAACCTAGGGAGAAAGGGGTGGGGAGGGAGAACTCCCTGGAGCAGGGAGGCTTGCTAAGCCCTCAGGATAAAATCCAGGGCACATAAGGACACGCCCCTCCCATTTTATAAGAATGCCCCCAGCCCCTCCCAGATATTCTGCTATCACTTTTTCCAAGGAGGCACTTCCCTACTTCCTCAAGCTCTCTCACAGCAAAGCCTGGGAAGATACAGTTCTCTGGAATGCCCGTTCCCAACCTCTGCCTTGGTAAAATAAACAGATTGTCAGGGGGATCCCTAAGCCCACCAGCTCCAGCTCTGAATGCAAGGCTGTCTCGTGCTTCCTACTGCAGCACCTAATTAAGACCTTTAGATGCTCCCAGTGTTGAGAAAAGCAAGGAGTGACTCACAATTGTTAAAAATGCCAACCCATAAAAGAGCCCTAAGGAATTCTCCCAACTTGGGTGTTTCCCATAAGTGACTATTTCCAGCTTTTTTTTTGAATTTTCAAGGATTAAATCATTTCCATTTTTGAGGAAAGGGGGGAAGCACCCTGACACACACAGTCTATTAGGGGACCCTTGGCAACGTCAGGCACTCCAAGTTCTCAGTAAATATTTGTTGCCTGAATGGATTGGAAAAGGTCATGGAGAGTGTTAGGTCACTGTGAGGATTTGGCAACAGGAGAGGGGAGACCTGAAGGCATGAGAGTGTATGTGTGCGCGTGCAAAATATTAACAAAGGCAGTAGAGCAAGGAAGCAAGCAAGAAAATTTACAAGAATTTCCAAAGAGCATTTTGGAAGCATTGTATTCATTTGAACAATTGCAAAAAAACATTTTTACTGAGTTAAGCAGTTTAGCCTTTTCTCTGAAATTTTAATTGGATATGTTTGCATTAAAAAATAATAATAACCTTAAAATAGTATCAAATAATGCATCTAGGTAAAAAGAGTATTCAGGTGTTCATCATACTATTCTTTCAACTTTTCGATAGGTTTGAAACATTTCAAAGTAAAAAAATGAGGGGTCAAATGAAGTCATCTAGGAGACGGTGTGGTGTTGTGGAGAGAGCTTTCCAGGCAGAGGGAGTGACATCCCTGAGGTGGGAGAAGCTTGGTGAGTTTAAAGGACTAAAGGAAAGCCATGCGGTCCTGCCAGGGCAGGTGTATCAGGGGCTGGGCCTGCAGAGCGGACGCTAAAGATTTTAGTCAAATCCTAAGAGCTCTGGGAAGCCACTGAGAGGTTTAAAAGGGGGTTGACATGATTGGATTTAAGTATTTAAAGAGCACTCTTGCTCCTGTGAGAGGACTGAGGGTTGGGTTACCTCTGGGAGGACAAGAGCCCAGTGATAGGGCCTCAGCCACCTCTGCCTCCAGAAGTCCTGACTCGAGCCTGACAGAGCTGCTGTGGGCCTGCCTGAGGGCGCAGGGTTGAGGCTGGCGGGCTCAGGCCTAGGTGAAGGGCCTAATGGGGACAGAGTGGGGACAGCAGATGGTGGGGACAGCCAGGAGAAGAGCTTTGGGGCTGTGAGGTAGACAATAGGGTCAGATACCAGGTTAGGAGGATGCCCTGTGGAGGTGGGTAGTGGTGTTGAGGGAATAAAGGTGAGTGGAAGGAGGGTGGGCTGGAAGATTCTAGGGAAACCGTTGAAGGTTGGAGGCCAAGCACCTGGGCAGGCTGCCAGCTCTTTAAAGGAGATGAATGAAGTGGGAGAGACTGCTTTCTGAACCATTTGCTGACAGCTTCCTATTTCTGGACATTGGGCTGACTGGGAGATATATATATATTCATCTATTTCAGCCTCAGAACCACGTGCATTAAGTATTATGATTATCCCTCTTCCCTCTTTTCCAGCAGATGAAATCAGGGCTCTGAGAAGTTGAGAAACTTTCCCAAAGTCACACAGCTGGTAACTGTCAGAGCTGCAACTGAAATAGTCCTAAGGGACTCCAACAACACACTGGGCTTCAGCAGGGAGGCCTGGACCCCCAGCAGTAGGTAGAGGGGACTCTTCCAGAATTTGGAAAACAATAAAAAATAAAAGTGGAGGAGAGAGACTACATCTAATTGATCATTTCCCAAGCACCCACTATGTGTCAGTGCCTGTGACAGGCCCTGGGACTTAAGAGATGACAGATACAGTGCTCACCCTAAGGAGCCTGTACCCGGGTGTGCTGGGTGTGTGTGGGGAGCAGCCCAGAGGCTGGGCTTTGAGAAAATGCTTCCTGAATCAGGCTCTAAAAAAGAAGAAACCTGGGGAAGTCACTCCTGACAACAGCCTGGATTTAAATGATAAAATATAAATGCATATATATTTTTTTCAGTGCAGTAAAAACCTATCAGCATTTAAAAATATACATATACAGGGTTGGGGAAAAGTAGGTTTACAGTTGTTCATATGGAAAAAATACAATAACTAATAAATAATAATACAAAAGTAAATAAACTCTGTGTTTCACATACTCAAAACTATAAACCTATTTTCCCCCACCCTATATCTGGGGCTATTATGCAACAATTAAATGACTTTTCAAGAATTTTTTATAGACTTTGGGGAATTTTTTGTGCTATATTGCAAAGACCCCCCCCCCAAAAAAATAAATGAACAGTATGATTTTAATATAAAGAAAAAAATGATGAGAAATATACCAGGTACTGGGAATGAAAGTTCTCAGTATTCTGTGAGCAAATTCGTAAACAATTCATTTTATTATTCTCTCTACTTTTGTATAGATTTAAAATTTTTCATGTTAAAGAAATGTTAGTGGTGTTTTCCCTGGGTTGTGAAATTATGAGTACTTTTTCTTTGAAATTTTGTTCTCTATTTCTCGTGTTTCCATAATGAGCATGAATTATTTTAAAAACAATTGCTAATGTGTTGAATGAGAGCAGGGATGGTGTCTCTCAGAGGAGGGTGGGTAGGAGGGAAGGGTAGTGGGAAACCATTAAAGAGAACAGAGTGGGGACAGGGGAAGCTGAGTGGGGATGGTCTCCTCTGTGCAGAGGCTGGGAACAGCTGCAAGGCGGTGCGTGGTTACAGCCTGAGAAGGGGAAACTGGCTTGCAGGATTCAGACCTCCAGACAACAGCTGTTGGGGTCAGAAGCCAAAAGGTGGAGAGGAGGAGCGTCTGGCAAGCAAGAACTGCAGAACTTGGGTCTATCCCCCCTTTGTCTAGGCAATGAGACCCAGTGCTGGCTTGAACTTGAACCAGGTTTACTGAGGAACTCAACATGAGCCCTATTTTCAACCTGGTGGCCAGTAGCCAGGGTGGTGGGGAAGGAAATGGGGCAGAAAGGCAGTGGAGGCCTGGAACCCGGGTTGGACTGAATAAGCCATCTCCCTTCCTCGTGCCGCACTCCAATTTACTCATCAGGATGGCTGCACAGGAAACACCCCCTGTCATGCTGTTGATCACCACAGGGCCTTCGCATATGCTCTTCCCTCTGCCTGGAATGCTCTGAACTCTTTCCTGCAGCTGGTTAATTCATATTCATCCTTCAGATCCCATACAGCCTCCTTTCCTCCTGGACATCCTCCTGCTCCCTGACCAGGTCAGATCCCTATGTTATGCTCTCACTACGAGGCACTGCTCTTCATAGCACTTATGAGAACTGCAATCATCTTACCTAATAATAGACAAACATGTAAATTGATCGTCCCTCTGCTACGCTCACCAGCCAATCAGGAGAGTATGCAAATTAACCCAACAAAGATGGCGGTTAATTTGCATATGTAGGAGCGAAGACTGAAGGCGGCTCCAGCCGGAGCAGCAAAGACTTAAAGGTGGCCCCGGCCGGAGCGAAGGCCTGGGTCCCAGGTGCCGGCAAAAAACCGGTGCCGGCAGCCAGGAGAAGGGTAGGCCTATTGCACGAATCTCTTCGTGCAACGGGCCTCTAGTATATATATGTGTGTGTGTGTGTGTGTGTGTGTGTGTGTGTGTGTGATTATTTGGTTAGTATTTGTCTCCCTCAATACTGTAAACTCCTGAGAACAGGGAGTATGTCTTTTTATACCTAGGACACTACCTGACCTACAGTCAGTCTTACTATTTATTGAATGAAGAAGGGAAGTTGCAGTTGCTGGACTGGGCCCCTAACGCTTATTTCATCGGCCATTTGGAGCTGGATCAGAACTGTTTGTCCCATCCCCATCTGGCTCAAGTTAAGGCTGGGAGAGCTCCTGAGCCTTCTCCATCTCCCCAAGAGCTCCCGCATGTATGTCAGGCCACCCAGTCTCTCATTTGATGAAAAGGGACTTGAGGCAGGGGTAAGGTGGGCAACCCAGAGCAATTGGTGGGACCTCCAGGTTCAGCAATGTCTTCTGCTCTGGCTAGTATATGTCCTGAGGGGGGTGGGGAAAGGGGACACAAATTGCTCTGTACTTCGTTCTCATCACCTCAGCTCAAATGTCACTTCCTCCTGGAGGCCTTCTCTACCCCCTCCACCACTACACTCACATTACCCTCTTCTTTTCAGAACTTGCTATGATTTGAAACTAGACATTTTTGCGTGTGATTTGCTGTCAATTTTCTGTCTTCTCTGCTGGCATGAAAGCCTATGAGTTCAAGAATCATGTCTGCTTGTTCACTATTATAGGCCAGTGTTTAGCACAGGGACTGGCTCATGGTAGATGCTCAATAAATATTTTTTGAATGAATACATGAATGACCTAATGGATGAGAAGGCTGGCAAGGCCAGTGGGGAGGAAGGAGACAGTTGGGTTCAGGACAGGGCAAGCGCAGTCCAAAGGATCTGGTTTGTTGCCTTCTAGGGGCCTTCTAGGAAGTGCCTGGAGATCCTAATACCAGTGGCAGGACTGCACTTGCCCAGGAGCTGGAGTCTCCATCCTACACCAAGGTCTCCTGGGTTCCTGTGGCAGTGAAGGCTCAGTATCTGTAGCATCTGGGGAACTGTGGGCAGCAAGAGTCTGACCATCGAGGAGGCAGGAAGGCAGATTAAGCTCTGCCCGCCTCTCCCTCCAGGGATCCTTGGACTCCTCCAGGCTCCTGACTTCCAATAGGGAGGCCTGGCCCAGAGCCCACTCACTCCCCTCAAACCAACTGAAGGTCTTTCTGCTGAAATTTCCCTCCTCCCCCACCCACAGGGGGTTCCTGTCTCAGCAGGAATTCATACCAGATTGAAATGAGCAGCTGGGGCAGCCTAGATGGGAGGGTGTGTGTTGGAAAGCACTGATCAAAGGCTCTGTGTGTGAGGGGCCTGGGGAGGGAGAGAGGTGGGGACGATGTGAGTGCTGGCTTGCCCACAAGTCCAAAGAAATGAGAGACAGGCAGAGACACTGAGCAAAAGTCAGGATAAAAAATAGAGACAGAGAGAGATAAATAAAGAGAAACAGAGAAAGAGACTCAGTGAGGCAGAAAAGGACAGACAACAGGTTACAGAGACGTGGTAGAGAGAGACA